TGTGTTGCTGGTTTTGTGTTGTATGACACCGTCCACCTTTATTTCAGTATTTACTTCAGCTTGTGGAAAAATTGGGTTTTCTCTTTACCATCCGTGGTTTTAAAGTGGTTGTCCGTGTGTAATAAATGTGAATAATTTGGTAGATTAACATTATTTCAGTTAATATAGTTTTCAACAGTAAATTTAAAGCTACACTGTGTGATTTTTACCCCCATCTAGCCGTGAAAAGGTATATGACCATCCAGTGAATATTAGTTTCTGTTCCTCTCAATTCCGATTTCGTTTTAACACCTACCTACGGTGGCCAATGTAGTCCAAGATTAACATGGCTGCCAGTTCGACACTTTATCCATGAGTGTTAACCCAAACATAAACGCGAAAGGCGAAGCTTGAATTAACGGGTATGTCCCTCTTTGGCTAATGTACTTTCAAGATGGAGGGACAACATGGCGACCGACATTAGAACCCCTTACCCGTATGTATTTTCAACAATGGCATAGTATACACTCACAAGAATACTTTATTACTTGAACAAAGTAAATATACATTAATGAGCACATACATTTTTGAAAGAACTAAGTGTTTTTAGCTAAGAAAAATCTAAAAGAGTCACACCGTGTAGCTTTAAGGTAAATCTGTAAAACTTAAAAGTTGCAACCATACTTTCTATAGTATGATAAAGTTCTGGCAACCACATCTGCCTTTTTTACCGTAAATTTCACAGATCTTTATTCAGTGTGGGCTAGGATTGGTAATAAATTGGACTGTCAAAAATGGCCGTACCAAAATGGAGTCAGCCAACAGGGAAAGTCGTTTTTAGAGGGGGAGCAAGTGAAAGATAATGAAGACAAACTTTTTTCTTTGGAAAAACATGCATAGTCATTTACAACGAGACCAGGAGTGTGTAAAGACAGTAAACAAGGTCAATGTGAGTTTCATGTTGACTTTTAGGGTTCTCTGGCGTGCACTATTTTTGGCTTTAATACACATTTCTTGGCCTCCAAATGGCAGCAAACACTTTTTAATTCACCAGTCCAAACGCATGATATTAAAATGGGTCAGCTGCCCTGCCTAAATATGACTTCTTTCAAACCCCAAAATGTCTCCTGTTTTTCGCATCAAGACTTCCCCCTTCAGACCACCAGCACCCCGAAGAGAAACCACTTGAGGGAGCAGGACCGGCCTGTAACCAGGAAGAACAGGGCGGCTGTTTATTTCTGGTGCATCTCTACCGAATGACTCACAAGTTGGCTGCAAAACCAGTTCAGTCTCCAACAGCTGAGCATGTGCCAGCTCCAAAGGCATATAACTTGTGCGCTGCCCACCCGCTCCGCTTTACACCAGTCTCAATCGCAACGCTCGTCATCTGCCTATTTTCTCCTGCGTTTAATCCCCCTGTAATCATCAGATGCAGTGTTTTACAATCAACATTGGATCTGACCTTGAGCAGGTTTAGAATCGACCAGACACATTAGTGGATGGGTGCGAGGCCGGGCAGGGAAGAGAGAGAGAGAGAGAGAGAGAGAGAGATTAAGTATAAGTGGGCGGCTCTCTGGTTCACTGGAGTTGAAACACACATTCAATGTCCTTATTATAGAAGACAGTGGGCCACCAAATACAAACAAGCACTGTAAAGTGAAAAAAATCCACATTAATAGTAGTATCATCAAGGATGTATAAAGTATTTATAGTATTATGACTATTGATAACTAAAAGACCAAACATCTAAACTGAAATGTTCTTGCTGACTAAACTACAAATATGAAGATATAGCTGTGACAGTCTCACAAATTCCCCCAAAAAGCCCCCGTGGGCAAGCCCTGGTTCGTGGGAACCGCTGAGATGACAGATCCCGGCATCACTTCCCATAGAGCTCAGGGACAGAAGACATCACTTATCCTGACCTACAGTCAGTTAGACATGATGAGCTGCTTCCAGGAGTCAGCTGACCCTCTGTGGACCAATCCGAGCAAAAGAAATCCCATGCTGGAGGTCATGGAAAACCTCTCCCGGGGTCCATATTTACTTACTCAGCAGAACACATAAAAACTGTTCTTCAACAACGTGTAATGAGGAAGACGGACATCACCAGGCCAACATGTCACCCTCAAAAATGCATTTTTTTTCCCCCTGGAGAAATTTGTGGCTCGGTACAGTTCATATAAGCGTTTCTAAAACGGATGAGCTTGTGTTTGAGCGATAGTAATTGGATCGTATACACTAAAAATAAACTTAAAATGGATGGATACGCCAGTTTTTTTAACAAATGGTTCCCTCCAAGTTTAAATTACCGTGTGTGAGGGAAATGTCTTAGAAGGTTTGGGAATTTGTACGGGTAGGCCATGATCGTGTGGCTAAGACTTAAGATACACCAAAGTTAAATATGCTCCAAATTACAGTCGTTACGAGACCCTCAAAGCCAAAATTAAAGGGCGAACGCCCAGGCGGTACTATTGACTTCTTTATTGAATGGCTGCTCTGTATAATTAGCAAAGCAAACTAATCCATCTGATCTCAACCATCTGAGCGCATTGTGCTGTGATTCAGATGATGGTTCGTGATGGCACCTACTCTAGGATCAACCGGGAGTTTCGACACAACAGAGCTTTGATGTCCGTCTGCGGTCCGTTCAAGGTTTTTGGTTGGTTTCTAAGGCGAAACATTCATCTGACGGAGGATGCTGTCCCTGGAGACTCTTTTGACAATTGAGAAGGAAGCCATTACTGCCACTACGGCCTGATGTTAATGACAGGGTGACCTTTAACCTCAATTTCCCTCATCTAAAGCACGCCAGTGATTTTCAGAATATCGCATTACGACATTTAACCACATTTCGCCATCAGATGATTTCAGCAGATGAAATTGTAGCTGTTTTCAGTTCTATTTATAAACTCTTCTCTAAAAATATCTCGAAAGCTCAGAATTGTCTGTGTTTTTCCTATGTATAATTTCAAGAAGCAGTGACTAACGTGAAAAAAGTAAAAAAAAAAAAAACATAATACAATATATACATGTATACATACATGATACATATATATATGTGTGTGTGTGTGTGTCTATATATATATATGTGTGTGTGTGTGTATATATATATACATGACACACACACACATATATATATACAGTACACACTGTATATCTACATCTGCATAGAAATATAAATGTGTGTATGTACACACAAATATCATATAAATTGTATGTATAGATGCGATTAATCGATTTGAAAGCAATTTATACACACACACATAATATTAATTATTTTATTATAATTCCATATAATTATAATAAAATTATTAATCTCAAAATTGGCCAAACATGTTGTGGGTAATATTCCAGGTTTTCACTGCATTTTTGCTTCTCATAAATAATTGTGAAGATTGTTGAAAATTTAAAAAAGAAATTTTAAATCTTAAATATTTCAAGACTTATAATGCTCCTAGTTACATAGAAGAAAGTCATACATGTTTCAGAGTGAACTACTCCTTTCATTTCTAAAGTGTCTCCATGGTCTCTTAACTAGAATAAGGATGCACATTATTAATTTTAAGCTCATTCTTTTATTTCTTCTTTTTTTAGTTTGCTGTTTATTGAACATGGACATCAGTCAAAAGCATCAGTGAACATCAGTGTTAAGAATGACATTTTAGTTCCTTTTTTTTTCACCCCTTTATCCCTTTAATGCAACCCCCCTCCCAGGAAAAAAAACAATAATAATGATAAATTAATGAAATAATAATAAAAACAGTAAATAAAAAATAAATAAATAAAAAACAGAATAGCACAGATAAAAGGGAAAGTAAATAGCAATTACCAAATGTAAAAAAAAAAAAATGTATACTTATAAATAATACTGTCATGTGCGGTGGGGGTGGGGGGGGTTGAACAATTTCGACAGGCATTCATCAAATAATCTTGCTAATTTCTTTGGCCTGATTTGTTGTTTAGATGTAGCAGACAAAACCAACACATGGCATATTTCCATCTTTGGTCTGCTGGCCCGTTTCCATGACAACGGTTTCCGTGCTGATGTTGTGTGTAGCACTGCCCTTACCTCACACTTCCAGACCGAGACACACTGGCCAAATTATCCTCAAAGCAGCACAAAAAACACATGGAGTCATCGCTGTCAGCCTCTGTAGAGCTGCGGTCACATGTTTAATTTTGGATAGTGTTGTTAGAGGTGATGCTCAACACATTCAGCCATTTAAAGCTTTCCTGTCATCCCACCGTCACGTCGTTTTGACAGCTGCATCGATCCCACATAGGCAGACATCTGGCCAAGGAACAAAACTTTTGTGGATGTCAAACTTTTTCCAATGAACCCGAGAAGCTAAGAGTTTCCTTCACACACAAATTCTGCCACAGATGTGAACTAGTATGCAATTTGATATTCGATTTTGTGTTGTATTCATAGGTTTCATTGACTTTGCATGGATTCTGATGGAATATAATTAAAAATTATGGTCTTTTTGAACAAAAATCTCTCCTTTTAAAAACCCAATAAATAAAACAGCAAAACCGCTTTTCTATGAATAATGTCTCCCTCTATTGGCCAAGACTGAATAATCCCCTTTTAAACCTTATAAATCAACAAAATAACAAACTAAACAATAGGGAGACGAAAGGGCAAAAAAAAAAAAAAATAGTCACAATCATTCAATTATGGATTAAATACATTCATAATCAGAATTTTAAATTAACTATACAAAAGATCAGGATGATATGATTATATGATTTGGGTTTTATGAGAAATTATTTCTATTTAATGCTTTTATTACATTATATTATTGATATTTAATATTAATTATATTAAATATAATCTTGCAACAAGTTAAAAAGGTGGAAAAGAATGGCAAACCTATTCGGTTTCAGAAAAATTGAGCTGGATTGCCTGGAATCAGTTTAAAATTGGATCAACAATGTAAAGACAGGATTGCAAAATAAATATGCTATCATAGGATAATATGATTATCAATGTGATTGTGCCCTTTAGTCAAAAAGACAAGCGAAAAATAATGTTTTTACTGTGTATTTACAATAAATAGTACTTTGGAATGTTATCAAATGCAAAATGAACAACTACAATACAAACTATTAATATTAAAGACACATCTGCAATGATAAAATTCAAAGTATCCCTATAAAAATCAAACCAACACATTCAAGACCTGAAATGTTGTTCGTCCATCACGGCCAGTTCAGTTCAAGCTTCTGTCCAAAATTTTAGCACCAATCGGACCTACCGTTCCATACATTTGAAAAGTGGTATACTGTTCATAAGATCAAGTTTGTCTGATGGATTGGATCTTTGCAGAACACGTGCAGGCAAATCTTCAGCGATCGGTTTCCTTGAGTCCCGCTCCTCACGAGTCTCCGGTCATGATGGAGATAAACTCCTCTTGATTAACTGAAAGACAGTACAAGAACAAATGTGATCACTTAAATTCACTTTGCTTTTAACCTACTTATTCACAGCACAGAGAATTAATATTTTGCTGATTAAATTACATATCATAACTCTTCACAACGCCAAAGGACACACAAACAGCTTTCAACTCAGCCTCCATTTCCACTGTTCCCATTTTTGTTGGCTGCAACACATTCATTTGCTGGGTCTTAATTGAGAAAAGCACTTTGGGCCAACAAGGAAAAGCACAGTAATTACTTCCATTCATCAGAGGCAATAAAAATAGCACTTTTTCCTTCTCCCTAGATAAAAAATCCAGCAACTTACTCTCTCCGTCCCCATCGGTGTCAAATTCATCAATCATGGCTCGCAGATCTTCGTCACTCATGTCTTCGCCCAGTTCACGAGCGACTCGCCGTAGGTTTCTCAGGCTTATCTTTCCAGTTTCATCATCATCGAACAGTTTAAACGCCTTCATTATTTCTTCTTTTGGGTCTCGCTCCAATATCATGTCCGTCACTTAAAGAAAATGACATTACTTTGAAGTATAAATTGCTAGTGAAGCATTCACACAAAGCAAGTAGATTTACATAAATGTTACATTTATCTGCTCCAGATTTCAGCAGCATCATTCCTGCAAAGCATTTTGCAGTCTAGGCCTATTGAACTTACCCACTTCTTTGAAATCTTCGAAAGTTATTTTCCCAGTTCCTTCTCTGTCATAGTCTTTTAAGATCTTTAACACATCTACTTTCTTCACCTCAAAACCCAGAGCTCTCATCGCTACCTGGAACACAAATTTTAAATATCAGCAATTTTTGAGCTACTGGTACACTATGTAACTTTTTGTTCAAAATCAACATGAGTCAATACAACATCAATCCTTCTTCCAAAACGTGTTTGTCTTACCCTGATTCACATTGATAAGGCCGTTGGAAGCGTTTCTATTTTAGATTGAGCAGGATGTTTTTCCGCATGAAATTGCGTGCGTCCTTACGTCACTCGTCCGTGCGTGTCTCGAAATATCCGACACGTGTATGGTGTGGGAGAGCCATAAATTTGTTGTCACATTGAGGGAGAAAGTTTGACATGGAGCAACTAAATCTCAAACCACCAGTGAATCACCATTTTTTGTTTGAATACCGAACAGACGAGAGTCTGCTGGAAAAATAGAGCGTGACAGAGCTCGTAATAAAACAAGAATCAACATTGGCTTGGCTTTTCAGAGATAGTGAGAACTGAGGGATTTGTAATGTTGTAAAAGCGACGTGGAGATTGCGTTTGTATTACTCAACAGGCAAGTAAGGGACTTTATTGAACAGATATATCGCCATATATGAATGTATTGTGAAGGGTCATTTCATTATGGCTTGAGACCCTTTCAACACTAAACAGGTAAAGCCTAGTAGTTAATGTTTTATGAGCAGTATGATAACCATATTCGTCCGCACCGTCAGAGCCAAAGCACAACCAAAACAATGTAAAATACAATGCGCAATACATGCAGTTTTGTTTTTTAACCACTGGAGGGGAAAAAAGTATGGTACGAACGTTTGATTGACGCACTTTCTGTCCAATGATTCTAGGTGGTCATGGAAATGATTGGCTGGAGTTTTTCGAGTCCTGCCCGTTCCACAGATGATTAAATTGCTTAATTTTCATTTAACTCAGTGGCTGTAAGTGGGTTAAGAGTAGGATTTCAAGTGATTTTGAAAAAAAATTGTCAAAAAAGAAAATCACATTCCCCACCTGTACGTGTTTGCTGACCAAAAATAATATAAGACCTTGCAGTTTACCAAAATACCAGGGCCACTACAAACCAGTGCTATGTGCGCAAATTAATATTAATGTTTTAGTGAAATTGTTATTCAAAATGTATCATCCTCTTTAATTGGTCTTATGTTTATATATAAATAATTGTAAAATTGCTATAAAAAAGTGGGATCTAGTGAATATCAGAAACTTTTCATACAAAAAAGTAAGAATTTACATGTGCGAGTTAATCAAAATATTGATGAGAATTAACATATTTGTTACTCACAAAACATTATTTTAATAGATTTTTTTTATTATATGTAAATTGTGTTGTATTACTGTTGACTGTTAAAAAAGAACACCTCCATTTGTCAAGTGTGATCAGTTAAGACTAGTTAGTATTTCTCAAAATGAAGATTTTAAATAGATGACCATTCCGAATATAATGCATATCCGTTTCTGAAATGAGATCTTTACCTTTAACTCATGATAATCTATTTCTTTATCCTTGTCTGTGTCAAAGAGCTCGAACGCCTCCTTGATCTCATCCTTCTGCTCCTCTGTAAGTTCTCTCCTTTTCTTCTTTTTGCTCTTATCAGCAGTTAGTTCAGTCCTAAAAGCACAAGTATGGAAAACAATTCATTCTGATCTTCCATTATTTTAGATACCATTCAATCAAATACAGCCTTAACGCACTAGACAGTATTTTGAGATATCATTGAACATACGTTATGATAATGTCCAGAACAGGATTTGATTGTCTGTATGAATGTGATTCATATTGCAATAAAATGAAGGATATGTGTGATGTTGCTTTTGTTTAATACGTAACCATTTTATTATTATTATTATTATTATTATGAATCACCATTATTACTATAAAACAATGTGTCAGCGATTCGCATGCTCCGGCTAGCAATCCTCAACACACCAGACGCTGGTCTCTAAACCAACAGCTAGTGACTAAACAACTCATAATTACCTCAGAGACAGACTCATTTTTGCAGTTTAGCAATAAATTCGCTGATATTGAAACACAAATCCGTCCAACAAGATTATTGTTCGGCTTCAACGATCCTGGTAATCCCGAACACAGACGCCAAGCACAGCGCGTTGCTAGTTGATTTACAAGGAAACGTTTCCGATTGGCTGCTGCTGTCTGAGCGTCAGGGTGACGACACTTGTGATTGGTTGTTTCTGAAACGATTTGCGTTTGAGCCTGTTTGATTGGCGGACTGGGACTGGTATGGGCGGTCTTAATGATGGCGGTCCTGACGGCGGCGCGTTCATGAAAAATGTGTGGTAAGTTAAGTAATATTGGACACATTTTGATTATTCGATTGTGTTTATAACGAATCTATACTAATTAACGTGTATTCATATATCTGACATGATGTAATATAATACAAGTTAATTGTAATAGGTTAGATACAGAACTGTACTGTTGTTGCCAAACCCATTTGTTATAATATAAGCAATACTGATTAAAATTAAGTAACGTGGTTCATAAACTAGTATATTTAATGAAATATTATATATAATTGTTGCTGTTAATATTATTATTGTATTTTTTTATGAAAATAATTAATGTATAAATGTCAATAAATATGAATTGTTGAAATATTTAAAAGGATAGTTCACCCAAAAATTCTGTCATAGTTTACTCATTCATACTGTACTTTGGAACAATTTGAGGATTTCTTTCTTTTGATAAACAGAAACGAAAATATTTTGAAGAATGTGGTTAACCAAACAGTTAATTCATAGTATGGAGGGGAAGAACGAAAGCAGAAGCAGAAGAACGAAATTTATACAGGTTTGGAAGAACTTGAAGGTGAGCAAATCTTTTTGGGTGACTTAATCCGATACTAAAATTCTGGTGACGTATAAGAGTGCCTTTTGTTTCATTTTTTTTTTCTGTTTCTGTTCATAAACATTATTATTATTGATAACATTTAACAACAATTTGTTTAACATTAAAATAAGTTTGTATTCCTCAATTTAGTAATTGCAGTCGACCACCAATAGAGGACGCCCTACACCATGACAACACTGACATGTATCCTTTCTAAATTCAGCTAAAGTGCAACAGGAAATACAAGAAACTCTTTTAAGACTCTGCAAAAAAAAAAAAAATTTTGGTAGTTAATTTAATATCATAGAATAATAATATTCTCTTGTTGTAAAATCAAGATCTGTCGCAATATCTTTACAGCACGTTCAGGGAAGTTAAAAGGGTGGCTCCAAAACCACTTCCTCTGATGAGCACAAAATGTTCCTCTGGTCTCATGAGGCTGTTGTGGTTCCAAACTTGAAAGGTCTTAAGGTCACGAAAGCACACCCTAGGCTCAGTCCTGGAGAAAAGTAAACCGATAAATCCTGTGTGGTGCATCTGGTGTGCTGATCAATGTTAAAGAAATAAGGGTAAAGTAGTGTAAACTTGCATAATGACTACATACTTTTTTCTTTTTGTTTTTCAGGAAAAACAAATGCACCAATTTAGCCAGGTTTACTTGTATTAGTGCCTGTGCAAAAAAATAAATAAATACCTAGCACAACATTTTATCATTAAAGTCCCCATTAAATCAAAACTGAATTTTTTTTTGCTTTTAGTGTGAATATGTTAGAATTACTGTTAAATTTGCTGTAATCTGTAAGCTAGTGTACTCTAAATCAATGACTTAATTCAGATTAATGCCTTGTTCACACTACATGATTTTAAAACGTTGGGCTGAACTTGACTTGCATGACTTGCTCTCAGTGAAATCAGGAGTGTTCAAGTTGTTGAGCTGTTCACACCACACAACACAACGTGATTGATCCACAACAGGAGGTAACTCACTACACGAGCTGGCAACAACTCTGTCACCCAACGATTCTATCTTGTCTACAAACCACGTTTTGTCACGAAAAATCACGCGATAAGACGAACCGGAAATGACGCAAAACAGCACGTGCGACAATACTCAGTGAAGAAGAGAAGAACACAACAAATATGGACCTCAGACTAGTGCTTCAAAATGTTTGTGCGATGATTTGCTCTGAGAAAAAAAATGCAAAAAAAGAAGAAATAAGATTTACTCGGTGACCTCAACCCATGCCTTGCTCTGATTGGCTGGAGCTCATGACATCACTGAGGCTGAGTCGCGCGACAGCTCTGGATATCTAGCATGATAGATATTTTTCTGGGCCCAGCGACACGTCTTGCGAGCGTCTTTGATGCGTTGTTGGCTCTTTCATACTAACAGATTGACAAGCGTTCATCGTCTGCTAATCCCCCGCGATTTGCACAGATTTTCTGTCCAATCAAATGCTCTCTAGAATCTAAAGCCTAAAATCTAAAATCTAGACGTTGAAGCTGCTGCTAAAAGTGGTCACTTGTTCACACAACTACTATTTGCTACATGGTAAATGGCATATAGTGCACTAAATAGGGGATAGGGAACGATTCAGACAGTGTAAATAGGTGAATGAAGTCTAGTTTCACATCAGTGTCACGTGAACCACAAAAAATGCATTGGGCGCATTTTAATTCTACACAGAATGCTATATTTTAAAGCGATATGGAGGAGATTAGGAGAAACGGTTTTACAGATTAGATTTTTTTTACAGATTTTTACGAAACGGTTTTATAGATTAGAACGAAACTGTGGCTCTACCGAGCTCAACGCGAGCTGTGACATAAACAAAACGCTATTGGTTATTTTAAAAAAGGGGAGGAGCTGATCGATATGCCCTGCCCTGTCTTCCTGTTTCAGTAGAAATCAGTGTTGCCAGATGTACGATAATTATCGTATTTGTACGATAATTTTGACCTCTGTACGATGTACGATCAATAATGAAAAAAATCCCATAATGTACGATAATTTCAGATTTTTGTGATCGGAGGTCATAATCATAGTGCTTCTATACTCATTGATCTAGCTGTTGATCTACGTCATGCTTGTGAGGAGAAAATGAAGGCGAGAGAGCACGGTAGAGAGGGAGAGACTGCGTGTGTGCGTCTCCCCCGCCCCCGTCATCAATATAGTCGACTCTCGGCAACGCGTCATAGTTGGGGGGCGTGATCGGCGTGGGGGAAAGCAGCGTATGTATGTATTTGAATGACAAAAATGTCATATTGCGAGTCATTGACGGCTGCCGACCGGCAACGGTACATTGCAAAATGAACTGTAATAGGTTATGATTGCCCTTATTTAATTAAAAACTGGGTCAATGACCCACCAAATGGCCGGAGGTGTCGTTTCCAGACTATTGTTATCTGGTTGAATCTCCAGGTAAGACATCGCGGTAGCTACATAAGCCTAACTCAATCAACTAAGTTGATATAAGTTACTGTAAGTCCACAAAACCTTGTCACTTAACAACTGTACGTAAGCTTCACTCCAAACTATTAATCCTTTTGTAAAACGGTGATCAGTAGTAACCTCGAAGTTGCCGAGGGGTTTTGCTGACAGTTATCTGAATTCTCACAGACTGCACTCTCACTCAATATTGAGCTGATAACCTTAAGCTGATAGCGCTAATGAGACATCCCTTAGGAAAAAACGAATCTTGTAGTATTTTAGGACAAAATATTATACAATATTATACAAAATATTACGTTATTATAATAATAATAACGCCCGCCCCGTGTGTACGATAATTTTCTTCAAAATACGATAATTTTGAGCTTCTGGTACGATACTTTGATATTTTCAATCTGGCAACACTGGTAGAAATCACGACAACGCATTGAATAACGCTGCGCGTTTCAAGGCACTTCAGTGGGCCTTTAACATGGAATGGCTGTGCAGTCTGCATGTTTTCATGTTTTGACTGAACTTGATTTACAGCACTGAGAACCAGAAAAGTCTGTTACCGTGACAACAAAGATTATCTCTTGGCAAATGCTGCCATTTGATAGGTGTCACATTAAGAAACAAAAGGATTGTTCACACGCTCGTTAATCATTACTCATATGAGGTGTGTGCTGTTGCTGGCCATTCTGCTTTTGTACAATTTCCATATAAGCTGATCTCTGAATGCACACCAATACAAGAAACATGCTTACATAAAGTCTGTGATAATAGTACAGATCACTGGCTATGAGTTTTGAAGAACAGAGCTTGTGGATCTCATGAAGCAAGTCTGTGCCTATTGGACGGAGCTGGTCACGTGACTGTCCATTCATTTCATTAGCCTACTTGTGACAGTCAGGGCGCAGTGTCTTATTGGACCCTCAAATGTCTGGACCATCTGGACTTGTTTTTGTTTTGTTTGCTTGGCTGTTGTGATGTAGTGTATTAAATAAAATAACTAGATAATCATTTTCAAATATCTTCTGAATATAAATTAATTTAACACACAATTACCTATCATTTTAAGCTCACTGTTATGGTTTACTCAGCTTAACCCTGTTTTATAGTGTGATGTTGTTTGTCATCTGTGGGGGAGGTTTGAGTAGCTATGACTGGCTCATGTTGAACAAAAGCAGATGAGGAACTACTGTGATGCTGTTGAGGCTGGAGAGATCTAGTTCAGACCGGTAGCTGGGTGCTGCTGGCTTACACACTGAAGGCTTCTTCTTTTTTTTTTCTTTCTTTTTTTTATTGTCGTCTGTGTGATTAATTTAGGGAAGACAAGACAGTCTTCAGAGGTTTCACATTTACTATTGTAAGAGGTAATTATAGTACTGAGATGGAGGAAGTCAAAACTCTGACTGCTTTTTAAAGATTATAAAAGTGTGTATATACAGATTAAAGATGTTTGTTATTGGATTCAAAGAGAACAAAATAATGATTATATTAATATAAAAATAGAATCATTCGGAAGAAGCTTTTAACCAAAGGTATCATATACAATATGAATATTTATAGTTATCATAGATAGATAGACAGACACACACACACACACACACACACAATAGTTCTTATATTAAACTATTTATAGTTATATTTACATTAAAATGTAATAATTTGGAAGATGCTTTAAACCAAAGATACTTTGTCATATATATGTATATAGCTCATAATTGAGTTTACTTTTATGATAAATTCACTGTAAATTATAGGTCATGCTTGTTTTTTAATTCCAACATGTATGATATTGTTATAATATGTAATTTATAGGTGTGTCAAGCACTTAAGTTGAACATCATTTTCCCTCCAGACAATGTTTTGTTCATTTTTGCATTTGTTATATTGACTGTTATAAGTGATAAACAGATGCAGATGCTATGAACATTGTGAAAAAGATTGCATCAATTACTAGCATCATTAGAATAATTGAATTGTGGGAAAACAATGAGTTACAGTAAGTACAGTACATCTTATTGTCCTTACCACTCCCTGAGCTCCTCCCCATATTCCAGTTCCTTTAGCTTAGTGGTGGCGTGATGTTCTAGACATGCCCCCTCATTGTTTCTGCATTCTCATTGGACGACGTAAACAATTTGTGATGCAGCAGGTGATGGTGCGTCACTATTACCTGCCTCACCATGAGGTAATTGCTGTCTCATAGCCAAGTTAAAACCCTCACAAAACATTTTTAATATGTGAGGTCGCATAAAAGCCCTTCAGTAGCCATATTTATCTAGACATCAGATGGACGCGTGACTCTGCAGGGCTGTTGCAGTGATAATCATGTGGAGATGTTATTTCTTGTGGCAGAAGGTTAAAGACCACATGCGCTCATGTGGCTTCTCGCTTGCTTTCTCTCGCTGAGAAAGAAGGAAAGGCAGATGTTGTGTATACACAATTCCAAATCATGCCACCACAGGAGATCCTGGGATCCAGCCAATCTCTTCCAAAGCCAAGAAAAGCAGACCAGTTATTCTGGGGCCGGCTGACCTATCGTCTGTCTGCGATGATATGATGCATGTAAAGTTAAAACTGCATTCAGGTCCACAGAGAGTAAGGAGATTAGGTCGATTCTAAGGGCCCTGGTCAGAGAAGGAGAAATTGGGTGAAAAATTCAGCGCTGTGAATTTAAAATGAGTGTGACGACGTTATTGAGAAGAGAGATCAGTCGTTAAAAAAAAGGTTGAGCAAAGTAATTCAAATGAAAAGTACATCCTTTTTAAAAAGTAACAAAGTAATAATTTATGAAGTTACTTTGGTCGTTACATCAAAGTGTAATCTCATTACGTAATGCACATACTTGTTACGGCTAAAAAGTATTCTGGTTACATAACACACATTACTTGTAATGTGTTACTCGTTACATACAGAAATTAATCAGATTACGTAATACACATTTGTAATGTGTTACTTGTTACATCAAAAAAGTAATCTGATTACACAGTGCACATAACTTGTAATGCGTTACTTCAAAAAAAGTAATCAGATTTTGTAATCCACGTAATTACTTGTAATGTTCCAGGATTCAAATCCAGGCTAAATATGCAGTTTTAAAGGGGTCATGAACTGGCTTTTTAACTTTTATTATATTGTTGTCAACTTATGACGTTTAGTTGGTTTTTGCATTCAAAAACATAAAAATGAATAAGTAATTGCTAT